TGCCAGTAGGTTGGAGGCCATTGCTAGTAGGTTGGAGGCCATTGCTAGTAGGTTGGAGGTCATTGCTGGCTATTGGGTTCTTGTTCTCATTTGCATACTGCCGAGATGTGCGATTGCAGCTCTGTGACAAAAAAGTGGTGGCTGCCTCATGCAGCTTGAGCTGTTTGTCCAGCGCCAACATCGCCCGGTCTTCGGCGACACTGGCGAATCAAGTCCATAATGGATTTCACACATAGAACTGCACAACGTTTTTCCGCATATGTTTCAACAAAAACACACTTCAAGCCGCGGCTGGTACGGGTCTTTCACGTTTTGAGTAAAAATAAATAGAGATTGCGCTGAAAGAGTTGTCGACTAAACTATTGACATAGCATGCTTGTGACATGAACAAGACTTCAAAGAAGAATCAAACACATATAATTGCTAATAATCAGGCCGGAAAGGCTCTTGCCGCTGTTGCTCCTCTTTCAGCCGCTGACGCTCAGCAACTTGTGCATCTAAGGTCTGGTCAACGGGAGATAGCGCTTGAAGGCAGCTATAGTACAAAGCATGCAAGTGCAGCAAAATAAAACTGAGCAATATCACCGATATACGGGCCTGCTGATCGATGCCAATCAGTCGACGCTTGGAGTTGAAGATGCGTTGTCGACGCTCCAGCTCCAACTGGCAAGTCAAACCGTGAGATTCCAGTCAAGACTCTGACTGACAAAAGAGCGAAAGCTCTCATGGCGCTGTTCAAGTAGCATCTTCTACGAATGCAGTTGAACTGCCACAAAAAAGGACCAAACCCTGCAGGTGCGAAACACATCGGGGCGGCAGCTGTGAAGAACGTTCTTTTCAAACGAATCCCAGCAAACTCCCAACGCAAATACTTGCAAATACGTCTAGACTTGGTTTGCTAGTGTAGTCTTCAACGGATCATCTAAGCGACACAAGTGAAACTCCAGGTGTGAAAGTAAAGACTCTTGCGTCATCTTGCGTCCAACATAGAATCTGTCAGAATGTCATCTAACAAACCTTGCGGAAGGGTGGAGACACGAAAGGTAGGAAAGCAGGAAGGCGCAGGAAAGCTGAAGAGGCCCCAAGTTGTTGTTTTTTCTCTATGGTCAAGCAAGCTCGCCCGAGGATCCAAAGGTCGCAGCCGCAGCAACAATCGATCGATCCAGTGGTCCATTGATCCGATGATCGATGCTCCGATCCCATCGATCCGATGATAGGTTCGAGCCAGTGATCCGGTGATCCAATGACCGGGATCTGCCGATCTGAGTGCTGTTGTGATCTGACGACCGATGACCAAACCGATGGTCCGTTGATCCAATGATCCAATTGTCAATCAGATCTGCAGCCGATCCAACTGCATCATCCTGGTGTTGCACATCCGATGATCTGGCAGATGCAATGATCCGCAGCTGATCCAACCGATCCGATGATCCATCTAGGGGGAGGTTGGAATGGATAAATCAATTCGGGCGGGGCGGGGGTCGAAATTAATTAATCAACAATTAAACCCGGACGACCCAACCCTTGCTTCGCAAAGCAAACTCGAGGTATACCCTTGAGGTTTCGTGATTTGTGAGGATAGATTTGGCCACATTTGAGACTTTGGCACACTCCACAACTCGAGACTGTCTATATATATATACACACAATTATACACATGCTTTCCTAACTCCACGAACCCAACCCGATCCAACCTGGCGGCGGCGTGCGACTTCGCGAGCCAAGCGCTCCTCATCCGATCGAGCATTCGTTGTCCGGCCCACGGAGAGCTTGTGAGATCGTCCTCCGGCGAAAGCCTTGCTCTGACCGTCGCATCCAAGACATGGGTGTCAAGACCTGCCCAGGAGCAAGGGCATCGCTACTAGGCATGGCCTTACTACTAGCAACAAGGGCATCGCTCCTAGTAACAAAGGGCATTACTACTAGGAGCATTCTTGCCACAAGGAGCGAGAAGCTACTATCGAAACTCACCACCACCCTGGTCGGGACCGGCCAGCCGTGCCTTCGAGACCCTCCGGGACCATTGTCGCCGTGAGGCCTTTGGAGGCGGGTTGTGCACATGGAGCCCCTAGTAGCTTCTTGTTGCTAGTAGTACGGCCAGGAGCCCCTAGTAGCGTCCTTGCTCCTAGTATGTATGACAGGTTGAACTGCTTCCTTGTCAAACCTTCGGACTGTCCACTCAGTTGCATGCCTCCGCCCCCATGCACCTCCAAGAGCGGGACAAACATTTCGAGCATTCACATCAAAAAAGAATGGTGTCCTTCTGTCTCGCCTTCAGTTGGATGGTGTGATCTTCGGACTGTTCCAGCTGCTCCGGCTGTTCCTCCTCCAAGAGAGGAGGTGACTGCTGCTTTCTTTTCAGATGAAATCATTGGGAACGAATGCTTACCATGACTATCAAAGTGACTTCCTCTTTCTGGGCTTTCACCACAGACAACAAGTTCAACTTTTCGAAAGGTGTTTGTTCGATTCAATGCTAATACTGTAGATTTGGGAAGGCGGTTTGTTTTAAGAAAGCACACCGGACATTTGGTCGCTTCCAGCGCGCTGGTCGCAAAATGCTACTAGCATTTCAAAGAGCCACACATGTCATGTGAGTCAACAATGATAAACAAGGAAAACACTTCTTGCCATGTTGCAATGACTTACAATCTGATCTGTACCCGGTCGCGCCATAGCTGCCCTGCAGAAGTGGACGTCACATCAGGAGCCTAGCTAAGTTACAGTAATCGGTATTTGCTAATAAGGGATACAGTAGTATAACCGCATGGTATGAATTAAGTCTGTTCAAAGCAAAACCCAAACTTCCTTGCACAGAATCCTAGCTCTCGTGTGCACGCTTCCAAAACTGGTCTAGTCACCTCGAAAAATGGATTCGATGATATATGCCTGACATCCCCTAACCCTCTGCAGGGTTACTTTTGACAGCGATGCTGCAGCCCCAGATCGTCACGCTTGCCTCCTTCGCAAGAACGGTGCTTAGCAATTCTCTTTGGGTATTTTTCCACCCCTTGCGGCCCGTGTCCACCTGTGTTGCCGCCATGTCCACCTGACTCATGGCACTCATGGACTGAGGATGAGCGAATACTCTCTATTTGGAAGCCTACGCTCTACAAGTACGAACCTAGTCCAAGTGGGGTCATACCATGCACATGAAACTACAGTAAATACCCGGCATGTTTGCACCATCCTGCACCTTGTCAACTACTTGTAGCTTGTCTCAGTATTCCCCTTCTGCTGTGCACCTTTTTTGTATCTAAACCAGAGCTTGATCTGCTGGTTCACCTTTTGTTTGCATTACAACCAGTTCTGCTTTCTTACCCTTTGAAAGCCTCCGCCATGGCTGACTGAAGCGGACTGGCAACCGGAGGGTGACTGAGATGCAGCGGATCGAAACCTTTCATCATGGCATCCAACATGAATATATTTATAGAGGTGCTTGCCTTCCGTCGCAGACAAAGCAAGCGCCCCCCCAAAAAGCATTTTTGCCGCAAGGCTTGTGTAGTCTGAAGGCATTCGCCCACTGGTAAACATAGTCAAGCCTGCACAAAAAGGACAAAGGACATGCTCTTCAAACTTGAACACACCTTGAAAAAATGAAGACCGACCCGAAAAGGTGTTCCATCGGTTTTCACCTACACAAATCTGAATCTTTGATGAATGCAAGTTGATGTCATGCTTTTGTGACTTTTTGTGGCAACATCCACAGAGACTCTTGGAAGAACACCCTCTTCCAGGATGGGGCGATCTTCTGCAAGGAGGAACACGTCGAAACAACGGGTCGAACAGACCACCCCCTTCCTTCCAAGTGGTCAAAAGGGCCTTTCAAGTTAAGTACATTGTGGCCCTGCTTTCAGGCCTAGCTTGGAGGCCGGGGCATTGGCATCGGCATCTGCGGTATCTGCGGCAGCGGTGGCATCCCTGGGGGCATTTGGGGCTGGCTGAACTGCTTTGGCCTCAGTCGGCGTAGAAAACTCTGGCACTGGAAGGTGGTTCTCAAATTCTGAGCTCGCCCCTTGTCTTTTTGGTTGCTGTCGTGAAACGGCACCAGGCCTTGTTTCAGTCGCAGTGCCAATCTATGTACAGCCAGCTACCCCCGGATGTGCATCAAGGAACGGGCTATTGAACGGCTAACATAGTGCAAAAGAAAGTTTGTCAGATGCCATTGAGGGGAGTCTCCTTCTTATGCGTCTGGGCCAGGCCTCAACAGAAGAGATTACCTCCAGCTGAATACCCTAGGGCATCAGTCCAACGCACCCACCGCAGTATCAAGCGCGGCATTGAAGCCCTCATCGAACATGGCTTGCAGAGTTGGGGCCTGGAGTAATCACTCCCTCTCACTGCAAGGCCGACTTACATAGGCGGGTTGCAGTGGCACACCAAACTGCATCATCAAAAACATGCAGGCAGAAGAAACAGGCTTTTTTAGAGCCCGCCCTTACGTAGTTGAGTAGGCGCCTACTTAACTTAGTAAGGGAGTAAGCTACTAGCAATGGGAAGCTCCTAGCTGGGACGCAGGATACCTCACGCACTAATCATTCGGTTCCTAGACTTTTAGGAAAACTTAACAACAGCGTTCCATACCCTGCTGAGAGCGCGCGCTGCGCTGGGACAGGCCGGCATGCCTTGATTGCGGTTTCCGTCTCATTGCCACGCGCAAGTTTGATCCAAGTCCCCAAACTCTTCAGCCAGTGTCATAACCAAGCAGGCGCCAACAAGAGGGTTTCGTTTTGCACACCTCTAACTGAGACAAACAACGTCACAGCTGAGAAGCACTGCGGCTCAAAGAGTTCCAAGCCATGGCAAGAACCACGAAAGAATTGACAGAACGTTTGTATACGTTTGCGCTCCAGAACAAAAACTCTCGGAGACACGTCGTTCTAGAATGAAGTTTGAAGGGCAAGCAGACCCACGTCGTCGAACGAAACCTGACAGAGACCATCGATATGATATATTGATCAAAATTGAAGGCGGTTCTCACCACAATACCGCGGAACAAATTGGAGGACAACGACAAACAACGGAGCAACAACACGAACGAAGAAGAAAACGCGATCAGAACCCTGCGAGCCGCCATGCTGCAAGTGGAATCTCGCTAAAAGACTGACATCATTACCCCCCCTCACCCCCAAACCTTGCAAACCGATGTGCAAAATGCACCTGGCGTGTCCATGCCATTGGGATTAGGTTCCCTGGGTTTGTGCGCGCGCAAGGGTCCCGAAGGAACAAAAAGTAATCCAAATGGACAAAGCATAGCATCAATGCGACCAATCTTGAATTGATCTGCTGAATCAAGGTGAAAGCTGCTGGTTACAATATGTTGCAATACATTTCTTGCAAACACCAAAGAACAGTGATGGCCACTCGCCTCTGCCTGCATTTCCTCATCATCGTCTTCTTCAACTCCAATCTGTTCAAGACAAACATCGCAAGCAATGCTCATTAATATCACTTTGTCACATTGATTCATCACATCAACCGATTTGCTCACCTCCTCAAGTCTTTTCTTCGCCTTCTCTGCCTCGGCTTTCACCTGGCGATGGCGAAACACCCGACCAAACGAGGCCACTGACCAATGAGCCAGTGCAGCACGGCGAGCCACAGCTGAAAACACTCTGTCCACGTGGGCGGCCTGCGGCGCATGGCTGGAGCCACTGGAACTAGCACATCTTGATGACTTCGACCGTTTCTTGATTCCTTCTGTATCTGATATGTTTGTCTGTCTCACAAAACTAACTTTAACAGAACTCATCATTTTTGTAAAGCAAAACTCTTTCAATCTTCTGGTGTTCGGTCTGAGTGCTTCCATCATGCACAAGCTGTTTAACGCCGTTGTCCCACGGTAGGAACTACAAGCGTTTTCCAATTAGAATGACAGATTAATATCGATAGTCGATAGTTGACAAAATGTTGGTTTTGAGCGAATGGCTTGTCAAGTCACAAAACTTCATGCCCTCCACACCCACCCCAGCAGCAAAGCATTTTGCTGCCAATGCTGAGGTTAGTCCAAATCTTCTTTCACCTGGGGCGCATTCTCACCTCATGGTGACTCTCTGAGCTGATCGCTGTCTCACAGCGCAACTGAGCAAATCAACTTCTCAGCACAAAATCATCGTCCCCCCTCCGCGAAGCGAATGTCTTCATCCACTTCACACAAACTGTCATCGACCACTTGAAAGGACGACTCACTGAGGGACCGGGAACAAATTGTGGTGACCGAGCGTGGTGTAAGAGCCACAACTTCTGGGTGTGCCACTCCTACTTCTTGCTCATTAGCTGCACTGTCCAAAATCATCGGCATGAGACGAGCACGGCGGTTGCCGCAAAAGCGATGTATCCAGTCCGAGGTCACCCAAACCATGAACCCTAAGCCCAGATAAAGGGTCACCCAAGTAAAAGAAGAGCCGTCCAAAGCAGCTCCCAGAAAAGCACCCCCAGTTTCAATGAACCCCCCTCCCCGGAGGGAATCGTCAAAAAGGGAATACATCTGCATCAAAATCATCTGCCAAGCCGCCGGTGGAGTTTCCAGAGTCTGCAAAGCCACCGGCAGCATTTCCAGGTCAGCCATGGCCACCACAGGAGCCTGCGGAGATGGCGGGAGATCAAGCAGCAGCAGGCGCAGCGCACGTAGCACTTGGTCACGTTCCGTGCTGAGCGGACAGCCCAGCTGGTCCCACAAGGGGTTAGCCCAGCGGCGCCCGAAAACCAACGAAGTCGCTTCAAACCATGCCAAGACACAGGATTCATCCAGGCGTTGAGCTCCTACACGTAGGGACATGAAAGATCCTGTCATGTTCAGCTCATCTGACAATGCCTGAGTGTAGGGTAGTTCTTGGGTGATTGAAGCAACTGCCACAAACAAGCGTTGTTTCAGCACTTCCGTCAAGCATGGAAAATGCGAAATGGCCATTGGTGAATCTAACCAATGTCGAAGCACTGCGGGCGAAGTCACAACTATGGAGCCTCCGCAACGAGTAGCTGAGATCTCTCCTAAGTCAACTCCTTTCCAGAGGTTTGCACCTGCCGTGAGTCCGTTTGTGGTGGCCACTGCGACCCAAGACCCAGCGGACTGGGCCACTTGGTTGGTGAAGTTCAACGCATGGATGGTCACTGCGGAAGAGGCTTCACTCACATCAGCAATGGCGCCGAAAACACGAGCCACATGAAACAAAGGACCTTGACTGCCTGAGCATACGGCCAGCATGAGCAACCCAAAAAGAACTCCTCCTGAGCTCAGTACTGGCTTCGTCCAGCGACGGCAGCACCTAATCGAAAATGGATTGGCTTGCCCGGCCAGGCGGAAGAAGCTTGCCTCTGCCCTTGCCTTTGGCCGGACGACTGCCTTTGCCGCTGCCGCTGCTGTTGGTGGTCCTGCCATGTTGGCGCTGTCTGCACTCTGGCGCGCTGAGGCCGGCTGGATCAGACCTCGAGTTGCCCCTCCCGCCATTTGCGCTTCTGGTATGGCGAAAGATACTCGGGCGGTTGTGGCACCAGGAACTTGTTCTCGCGTCTGCGCAGGTCGGGCCTGTTCATGGGCTCGACTGAGTCTGCACGGCTTGCCCTGACCATTTATGCACGCAAGACCGACAAAGTAATCAGAGATATGTTCTTTGCACCAGTGAGAAGCTGTGAGCAACCTATTGAACTCAATCTGTGTGCGAACATGTAAGCTGCCTGCAGTATCTATGTATGTGCGAAAGCTTGACTCCGACACCCAGCGCCCCGCCGTCTGAACCAGCTTCGGGTCGACTCCTCTCATGATCTGCAGGTGGCGAATCCGGCACGTCCCGAGTGGGCGGTTAGCCGAAGGTCCAAACCAAAATGTTTTTCTGCTTGCGCAAACGAGGCATTGTATGCACTATATGAAAAATTGAACAATCTAGCACCCTCCAAAGTAGCTGCGTGCACCAGGCGCATTAGTTTGTACGCCAATGGTTGGTCATGTGGACAGATCTGCACGAACTGTTCACGTTTGATCTTGTTGGACACAACCACTCCCAGCCGAATGTTGATGAGTTCACAAACGTTTGCTGGGACAAACACATGGTCTTTCGTCAAACTGAGAAGTTCCGAGGGCCTGAGCCCCGCGCCCAACTGAACAAACATTGCTGCGGCCAACCTGTGCATTCCTCGTGAAGCATGAAACGCTCCGAAGAGGTAGGCTGCCTCTGGAGCCAGTGGAACTGTATGTGCCACCGGCTCAGCTGCTAGTCGTCCCTTGATCGCTTCTTTGGTGTAGATCAGCTTTCCTTTTAGGTGGGGCATGAAAAACTCCAGTGAGGCTAACAGCTGTGTCTGTTGGCTCCTGGTGATTTCTAGCTCAGTTCTATGCTCCATGACCAGCATGCCTAAGTCATTCGGCTCAATGTTGGTCAACTCCCATCTAGCATTCAGGTAGTTCAAAAAGGGGTCAAGGGCCTTCTTGTAAGTCAAAAGGGTTTCTTTCTTCGCGCGACTTTCCAGATCAGGGTGCAACCGGCGCATACACGAGCACACGTCGGCCACCCTCATTCAAACAAAAGTCTAGACGCTTCATCTGCTGGCTGCCTGCCTGATTCCACCCACGGCAAAAACAAACGAATTCTGCTTGCCAAACAAACTCCTGCTTTCATCCTCAGGATTCTGTTGAGTGCGAAAGACGGGCTCCTACCCTTTGCCATGCTGCAAGCTGTAGGTTTGTTGTCCTGTAGTGAGAACGCAACTTTGTCATGACACTCCGTTGACCCAGCCAGCATGCGAAGAAGCTTGACTCCATACCGCCATCTTCCAGCATCTACGAAGTGCCAGCGATGATCCTCTAGTAGGGAGTCGGGTAGCAGAGTAAAAGGAACAGTGGGCCTCATAGTTCTATCTGGAAACCTAGCACCACCTGAACCGTCTAATCTTGCAATGGCTCTGCCCTCCGATTCGCCTTGTCGCAGAATGTCATCTATCTCATTGGCTCTCATTTTCGCCGTCATGATGCCAAAGCCACCTTGGTCAATTTCGTTGGCACCCATGGCCTCCGTCGCAAAAATCCAATCAAGAAACTTTGCGCCTACATGACAGGACATCAGTGGAACTATACGTGCCATGGCAATGACTTCTTCTCTAGCACTACTCCACCACAAGACTGTCTGACCATCATATTGTTCCATGAAGGCAAATACACTGTGAGGAATGCACAAGAGGTCACGACGAAGCAGTGCACCAAAGATCCACACACCTACCAGTGAGCGGAGCAATTTGATCTGCACGAATCGCTTTGCCGCAACAAACTTGAGAGCGTCGCTCAAAAGAACCATCTTCTTTTTGGGGAACATGAACGTGGCCGGCTTCTTGCACACCTCATAGCCTACCACCTTCTCAACCTCTTCGCTTGTTTTGTGTTGCGAAACCCCGAACCCCACGGCCTCCAGGGAGCTTACGATGTGTCTCATCAGTATATCTGCCTGGTAGTTCGCGGCCCCCGCATCGCTCACGCAGACTGTATCGTCCACATGAACGTAAACTGCTGCTTGACGTGGTGTGATCCTAACTGACTGTTTTCTTGTACTGAGCAAGCGCTGCACCTCCACACATTCCCAAGTGAGCTCTGGTCGATGGGTCAGCGAACATGTAGTTAGCGGCTACCTGCATGACGAGCTTGCGTTGTTTTTGGGGATCTTTCTTAGGGACCGCTGACACCCCCGCAATAGCACGAATGCCATCCATGGTGTCCCACTCCCAAAGGTATCTGACATCTCAGATATTTCAAGTATTCCTCCTCAGTGCCACCTATGAACCCATAGTGTTGTTCCGCCTCCCGGAAAAAGATCTCGCACTTGCCAACCCGGTCAACCACATTCTCTTCCTGAGCGTAAAAGTGCGAATCTTCCTGAGCTAATGCCAACAGCATATCTATGGAGGCCTCACACGAAGGTTCAGCGATTCGATCAGCAATGAGGGGGACCTGCTTAACGTCATTGATCTTGATGCAACCTAGTTCGTCAAGCGGTTGCTTAAGGAGTAATGACACAGCCTCAGAGGATTGGACGCCTGTCAAGCCAAGGCTCCGGCGTTCCCGTGCCACCTGCAGTGCACTAGTCCTTGCAGCAGTGACCTTCATCCGGGTCCAACCTCCTACTGCTTCAGGAGACGTCAGCTTGCTGGCAACACGTCCCTCGTCCAAACCATTGATGGTCTTGACAACCCCAATGGCCAGTCTCCAAACAGCTAGCCTCCGCTTTTGACGTTGTCTCAAACGGGCTGATCGTTTGGCCTTCCAATCTGGTCGAGGTGGCAAAGGTAGTGGGAGAAGTCCCCACTCCATGATCTTAGCTTTGAATTCCTCCGCAGCCTTCGCCTCTGTGGCCACGTGATCACTTGCCTGCTCATGCAAAAAGTCCGAGGTGCCATACGGCAGGTCAACGTCTGGCACCCCATCCCGACCACGTCATCCTTGGGTCTTTGGCGGAGCTTTTGCTCCCCCATGACCTTAGCCTCCGCCTTTCGAACCACTTCCACGGCCCCTGAACTTGCCTGCATAGCGAGTCTTGGGCCCACCTTCACCTGTATGTGCAGAGCTGTGAGAGCCATGTTCCTGTCTGGTCATCTTCTGGCCTCTTTCTGTTCTCTGCCATTCGATCTTGGAGTGGAGGTTCGCCTCGTCGAGGAGCCACTTGGGCGCTATATCCGTTTGCGAGCCAGGTGCACGGATTCCCAACATCCTGTTCGCTCCGAATTTATCTTTAGTCCTTCTGTAGTAAATGAAGGCACCCAACTTGCGCAGCTGAATCTCGAGCGAGTCCGAGGTCCCCAACTTGTGCATGATGGCGGGCTCCGACTTGCAATCAGCCAACTCAAAGTCTATGATGGTAGCTGCCGAGAAGAGGTCCTGGTAGGTCGGTGTCTGCTTCTGTTCGAGAGTGGCACGCTGATCATTTACCCACTGTCGTACTGAGGCGACTCCTTCTACTCTGATGTTGCGATACAACTCAGGCGCCGCCCTTTGAAGATCAGCAGGAAGCTTCAGGTGCCACGCCATCTGTTCGGGGTTCTCTCCAAGGTTGATGTCGGCCACTCTTGCAAAGGTTCCTCCTGTACCATGAGTCACCCCTCCTAGTGTCTCCACTTCTTGGAGGTTCTTCCTGAGCTCTTCTGCACGGGGAGGTCCGACTGTGCCGTCACCCACGTACCCGTGCGATTGCAGGATGTTGCCAATCTCAGGCTCAAGCGAGTACAACTCCTTCTCATTTTTGACTGCTTGCCAGAAGAGACCACCCCATTGGGGAGTCGTTGCCGCTAGAGCACTAGCCTTAGTCACTGCATCCTTCAGGCGTCCTGCCTGGAGCTGCAACTTGGTTGAAGTCGATCCCAATCCAGAAAATGGTGCGTAGGTGAGATTGGCCGCTGCATTGTGCTGGATGTCCGACGTCTCATTGCCCTGTGTTGTCACTGTCAATGCCTGTATGGAAAAGAGGTCCCCTGCTTTGAATGTCACTGTTCCCTTCTGTCCCACCAGACTGGTGTACGGGGGGATTGCAACAATGGTCACCGTTTGACCTACACCTATGCCACTATCAGCCTTCAGGTCAAGGGGCTTTGCACTAGAGAAGCCAAGTTGCTGTTCCAACGTGGGCACCGGTGGTACCCCTGGTGGAGGCGCATCAGAAAGCGTCTCACCTCCCAGTGTTTCTAGGAATGGCAAATCATCGTAGGTCGTATCATGTGGCCTAGGCCGTGGACGAGTGGCTTGTGCTCTAAGTGCTCTCAGCTCCCAAGGGCTCCGTGTCCACCCAAACGTCCAGAGGATGATTGCGCAGCCCAGGAGAAAGGTGCCTAGTGCAGTTCCGTAAAGCCTGAGGCGGTCAGAGGGCAACCAAGGGTCCAGTGCCATGAAGAGCAGACCAAGTACTAACACCTGTAGGTGCCAGCTGCCTGTCTTGTTGTCAGGCTGTTCTGCCAACTCTTCGGTGGGTGCTGCCAAGTTGCTGACAAGCTCATTCCACTGAAGTTCATCGTTCGTCACTAGCGGAAAAGCATCTGCAGACTGAGTACGGGACACCCCTGCTGTAAAAAGGTTCCACAGCAGATCCGATCTGGTGAGAGGCTCTAATCGGCTAAGCGAAGGCTCCCTACTGATCCACAACACCAATGGTGCCAAAGCTCTACTAAGTGCAGCTTTCTGTTGACCAAGTGTCCCTAAACGTCCCGACGAGCGAATGCGACTTCTCAATGTGATCAAAGCTTCTTCCAGACCACTAGGGTCTTGTGGCTGATTTCCACCAGCTTGAATGGCAGCAGAGATAGCATCGGAGTGGGCTTGCTGGGATAGAATCGTCATGACAGGCAGCCAGGCACGTAACGCTCACAGCAACGACATGGCTGTGAGCCAATCCAAAAATAAAAATTGAACCCTGATGAGCTGAGGTTCATTGAAACATCAAAGGTGACTCAAGCCGACATTCAAAAACTTCATTCCTTTGGAATCCCCCAAAATCCGCTCAGTTATATAATGTAGTTGCGTCTGTGCGAGGTTTACAATGGTTTACATAGATGCAGAAACAAACATGGAGCACTGAGCAATATGCTAGCCGCTAGCCTCTTGGACAACACTGCACAAAGGGCAAAGAATGTAGTAGCACACGTCCTCAATCTCAATGTTGCTCTTGACCTGCAGAAAATTCATGCCAGTGAGATGAATGTTTCAAAGTTGCTGTATATTCTGGCACAGGAAACTGGAGAGGATGAACAGGGGGCCTGCGGATTGACATGTTTGAGTGGTGACGAAACTCTAGAAAAGGCAAGAAGCCTTTGCAAACAGTGTGGAAGATCATCACAGTGCCCTCCTAGATGAAGTGCGTGTCCAAAATGCCATGGTGTGCTCAGTCCATGTCAGTCCAAGCTACAGTAAGTCTACGTGGCAATGGTCGGCGTAGATCACACAGGTGCTCTTTGGCCAGCAAGGTGACATCTGCCGCAACTTAAAAGGCAGAAGAAGGTGGGGGCCCGGGCATTATGGGTACTCGACAAGAAACAAACACACAAATACTGTATTGGTCTTACAGCGCGAAACGGGATAGACAACCTTGTTTCCCCAATCTGTACAGGCCAAGTCATGCTCTGTCAAGCACTTGAACGCTTGATGTGGACATCCATGTTACGTTCATAAAACTAGCGTCGAAATCGATCCTCCCAATCTTGCAGGAACCTGGAGAATCTTGTGATTCTCGAGGTTTAGCTGATGTCAGTGTTCAAGACATTTGGGCAACCGGACACCATCTCCGAAGCCCAGAAATTCTTTCAAGTCACTCCGGCGCTGGCCAGCAATGAAAGCGCCTGATGGAAGGAGGGTGGTGCCAAAGCTAAGGTGGTCTAGCATAACCGCATTACAGCGCTAGCGACGCTACTGCAGCTCCTCAATTTCAATGTTCTGAAATTATGTAAGGTACTGGCCACATGGCCAACATCCCACAAGATACAATCCGCAGCACATCAATGCTTGCCGAACGCCTCTCCTGTCAAAACGCCGCGGCCAGATTGTCTGATTCTAAGCAGGGACAATCAACGGAGCTAAGCGGCACAGTCAAAAGCGGCTAAGAAAAGCAGCCTCACATGCCCAACAAGTGTTTGGATCTACTGTTCTTTAGATCTGACGATCGCTCCAGTAAGGCAGTATGCCGACCGTGTCCCAGGTGTATGCGAGACGTGCTGGCCTTATCACCAAACAATACGTGCAGTGAGAAGTGTATGTCAACCAATGGTTCTGGGTTTCTCAACGTGCTCGCCGGTCTGAATGATGTAATGTACCTGTACAATGTTTCCTCTAGTCCGTGGCCGCGGCAGGAAACATACAAGAGAGCAGCAGGTTGCCTGCCGAAGTTCGCTCGGGCGGGAAGCGGGGATCACCTCCAACAAATGGCAATAATGTTCTTCGATTAATCTGCCATTGTGCCACTTTGCCTTTGAAGATTTGTACCAATCGCACAGACCAACGACCTCGATATAGCAGTGACAGAGGTGTCCATGCGTGGAAACAAGGCAAAAGACTCTCATCCATTTCGGTGTGAAATTAAATCCAAATCTATAAAGTGTTTTTGATGATTTCTTCTTCGGTAAAATGCCTAGACCCCGAACCCCAGATGCATTAAGCAACACACATGTGCCAGGATCTGACATGACATGCCCGTCAAGATAGTCCAATAGGGCACCAGGTGTATATGTTCATAATGTTTATATATTCAAGGTTGTTCCGTTGTTCCACCCCAAATCTAAGGTTCTGACCCAACCACTCTTATCATGTGGAGAGATGTACTGCAAATGGCCTCCATGCAGGTGCTGAGGGCAAACATGCCAAGCTTCAATCAATTCAGCCTCTTGCGCTAGATTTTGGATCTGATGAAGATACATTCAGTATGGCAAATGGAACCAAAATGACTATCCTTCTGTTCACCCTTGAAAGTGTGGCCATGAGCTCTTGGCACACACCCATATCATGTCCACGCATCAATCAACAATATCATCAACCCCGTCAGGAAGTGAGCACTTTGAGAATCAGTCCCTTACAGCATAGAAGCTTGGTAACATTGTTGTTCTTCTGGATTGAGGTATCAGTCCTGTCTGGTGGACTGACAAATGAAACTTGCAACGAAGAAGGCCCTGCACCGGCCCATTGTTCTTTGCATTCTTGCTTCTTTGCTTCTGCGCCCCACACACAGACACACGGTGCATAATTGTCTTGAACCCGCCCACTCTGCAAGTTGAGGGTGCACAGTAACTCACTCAATATTGATGCTCTTCCCGTCTGCGTGAACATACTGCTCAAACATGGTGCTCAAGGCTCCAACCAGGCAAACCTCTGAAGTCGGAGCCCAAGGCCCGAGCGCCTTGCAAGCGATGTGGCCGCCGATTGACAAAGAGGCACCTGCTGGGGAGTGCTCTGGGCGGAATCAAATGTCCAAAGGAAATTCTGAACTGCGCGCATAACAGGTTTCTTCCCTCCCTCTCCCTCTCCCTCTCCCCCTCTCCCTCTCCCCCTCCCCCTCTCTCGCCCTCCCTCCCTTGCTCCCTCGCTGGGGGGCAGAGCGTGCCAAGTCACCAAAAAATAGCTGGACCAACCACGCCAATGATGCAAAAGTAGCATGACAAAGAGACCCCGATCGTTGCAACCAAGGCCTTAGTCTGTGTGCAGCATTCTCCCTGCTGAACCAAAGGTGGCGCTTACAAAGGAGTCTTCGTACCTGAGGGATCTACCACATAATCATTGAAGTCCATGACCTCAACCTGGCTTGCCAAAAAACATGGCTTAGCATGGCTTAGAAAGAGTGCCGAAGCAACTTGCTTCCAATCACAACCGCAAATCGTGCCTTGGGCTCTTCCCCTTCAAGAATTGGTGGCTGCACCTGTTCAGTGTGGTTGTTCACGCAACATACATCCTTGCAGCCACTGTATCCATCTACCAACTCGTCTCACCTCAACGACCATGATGTGGAAATCCTTTAGGCTTGAGTGCTCCAGGTAAGTTGCCTAGGGCAAGACGATTCAAAGCTGTTGTACACTTCAGGTGTTTGGGACCTCTCGCAGGAAATCATGATTCATGCGCTAACACAACCTTGCTGGTTCATCCAAATAACTCATGCTGATGATGGGCTACCTGCATTTAATCATTCATACTTGCACATCCTTCCTGCTTGAGGCTGGGCAAGGGGAATTGTGTGCGAAGCCAATGTTCCATCATGTATGGTACTGAGCTGAGCATGATACAACGACCTTCGGGGCAAAGCGGCGATAGTTTGCCATAGCCTTGGCTGGCCAGTCGCTTCTTGCTCCCCATTGGACAAATATCAAGAGCCGTTTGTCTTTTGCTTTGCGTGGGCTTTCCTGCCAAGCGCGTGAGAAGCCAGAGAAGCTGCCTGGGCTTCCCTTTTAAGTGCAAGGCTGCCTCGATCTGGTTCAAGGACAGCACCTGTGAGTTGGAGATCTTGATGCGGAAAGTCACCTCCCAGTCGTGTTCTTTGCGGAGAAGGCTGCAGGAAGGCTCCAGTTGATCATCGAACGCGGGAACCAACAGGAACGCCTTTTTTGAAGCTAATCGTGGCATTGACGACCCAAGGGCAATTTCACCCTCGTGCAGATATTCTGCAATACTCACAAACCCTTCCTCTTATGTTGCAACAAGTCTTCCACTAAAGCTTGCCAAACGTGTTGCGTGTTCAATACACCCTAGGAAGTGTGCTCGCGTGGCAAACACTCGCAACAGGCTCTCAGAATTGTTCCACATCCTCACCTCAGGTCCGCTGTGTCAGCTCCAGGATGTCACTAAAGATTTGAGGCAGGACTGAAAAATTACGAGAAAACTGAGTCTGTGGCTCTTGGCAATGCCTGGCAATTCTTCCAGCAAGGAGCACAGGACTGCCTGAATCCATCTGAATCGCACCACCCCAAGCTTTTGACGCTGGCACCAACATGAATTGAACAGTGAATCATTTTTCGATGGTCAAACCAAAGTATTGTCGATCGTTCGCAGAATGCCTGTGGCACTGCACCTTCCTCACAATATCTTTGGAGCCTTAAGGGCACACGCCGCAAGTTTTGTTCGGTTTCGGCCATGACACAGTAGTTGTCTTGGTAAAGTTTCCATGGCCACGGCGTGCTCTCCGCACGACTGCGAGGCACGCCCTCAGCTGAAAGGAAGGCCATCGCCTTTCCAATGGAGAAAATTGATATTCCCCAGCATTGAAGAAAGTTGGAACAGCTAGAAGATGTTAGAATTACACCGGCATTGACCTCAGATGGCAACTATAACAAACTTTACAACTTTACAAACAAAAACACCTGAGACAAAAAAAATACTTTACTTTACTTCGAGTGATCCCCACCACGACACTTCAATCTGACAAATTTTCTTGCATGTGTTGAAACACTACTTCGGCATTCTCTCTGGCATATTTTTGACATTTTTTCTAGCATGTGTTCTGGCATATCTTCTGACATTCAAATCTTCTGACATACATATTTTCTGACATTACTTCCGGCATATCTTCTGACATTCTATCTGGCATATCTTCTGACATTCTTTTTGGCATCACTGCTGACATTCATTCTGGCATTCTACCTGGCATATTTGCTGACACTTTTTCTGGCATATCTTCTGACAATCTTTCTGGCATATCCTCTGACATTGTTATTTCTGGCATCTCTTCTGACATTTTTTATGGCGTACCTTCTGACATTCTCTCTGACATACCTTCTTGTGACATTCTTTCTGGCATCTCTTCTGACATGCATTCTGGCATCCGACACTTGCGGTTGAGGAGAGGAGGAGGAGGAGAAGGAGGAGGAGGAGGAGGAGCACGGCAGCTGAACAACCCTCACCTGACAGGGGGAACAAAGAATTAACGGAAAAAAATCAATGAAAATGAAAACTTCCAGTGACCGCGAGTGGAACCTCAACAAAACGCCAACCACATAGGCACAGTGTGCTGGCAGTCCCGGGTGACTTTCGTCTGAAGACATGAAGCCTTGAAGCCTTGAAACCCTGCTGACGACCTGAAGCCTTGAAGACCTGAAGCCTGGTGACGACCTGATGCCTTGAAGACCTGAAGCCTGGTGACGACCTGAAGCCTTGAAGACCT